GAATAAGCTGGAAATACTTCTTAAACCATCAAGTTCTTTGCAATACCTCGAAATAACTCAAAAACATCAAAAGCTTCGAAAAACCTTAAAAACCCCTATACATATACTTTAAAATATCTCAAATACTTCAAAATACCTTGAAGAATCTTGTATTGTGTCAAAATACCTCTAAATTTTCCTGATTTTTTAAATGCACTGATATACCTTGAACATTGCAATACCTCAAAATACTTTGGATACACCTCGAAAACTTTGAAACACTCATACCCCATCTATAAATTCGTGGAAATATCTTAAAAACTGTCAAAATGAATCCTTTAAAATTGGTCGTAATACTTCAGAAATCTCTAAAAACAGAATATTTAGAAATATCTAAAATACTTCAAAGATTTCTTTGACTTCAAGCGGTCGACCCTTTGACATTGACTTTTGCCATCGGGCCATTCTTTCATTCTTTGACCTTCGACTTTCGATCGTTGGCCTTCAAGCTTTAACTTGTGATTTTAGCCTCCTGTAATTAATCTTTGACTGTTGACTTTTGAAAGAATGTACTTGCATTTTGGTTCTTTAACATATTTATTGTATTCTTTAACATATTTATTGTATTCCAAAGCCATCTTAGTCTATTTTTAATATTTTTTGGAACCGTACTTTGAAGTTGTTTGTTTGAATGCATTTTGAAGTGTTTGGATGTGTTTCGTAGTTTTCGAGAGGTTTCGAAGTATTTAGAGGTTCTCTAAGTATAGCAAGCTATTTTGAAATACTTCGAAGTGGTCGGTGTATGTATTGCGAAATTTTTAACGTCTTTCAAAATATTTCCTGGTGTTTGCTTATACGTCCAAAGTATTTTGAATACGTTGGACATATTTTGAAGTACCTATTTTTTTTTAGAGATATTTCGATGTATTTAGAAAGGTTTGAGTTAGCATTCTTATATTGGCTAGCTAATTTTAGTTCTCCTTTTTTTAAGTTACATCCAAATCTTAGGTTTAGACCTCTGTATAAGCTAAAATCTTCTGCTTAGGTTGTTTTTAATAATAATTTCAAATTGTATTAGGTATACATTAAAACAAAAGCTTTACAATTTTTCAAAAATGGTCATCAAAACAGCTATAAAGTATAACATATAATAACAGTAACAGTACCTATTTTCTTATTTTATTAGCTAGTTATTTTTCTTCGTAGGAAAGTAATTGGGAAATACAACAGTATACAAGATATTTTATTTAAAAATTAAGTGAAAATTTAATAATTTTGTAAAGCACTCTTTTATACAGGATATTTAAAATGTAAATAAATCGAGGTGCGAAAACTCGATTAGCAGAACTATTTTTTTAAAATAGAATTTTTTATACTTAGAGACTCACCGTATTAATACGAAGAAAACTTTTTTTAGAGAATTTTATATGTATTTTTTGACACCAACTAACTTACCACACTAATACGATGAAAACTTTTTGGGACTGCTGACTCCAACGACAGCTCTGCCTCTGTTTGCAGTTATTGGTACATACCTATTTGAAAATCGTAGTACATAAATATGTGCAGCTAACTCAACGTTTCCATTTATTAACACCATGTCCATGTTTCATTGTTACTGTACTGACGGGCCACAGTATGTTTATTTGCAATCACTAATACATATAACACAGGCATACTGTCCTTTCACAAAAATAAAACCTACCTAAAACTGAATTAGCAGTTTTTCTGTTTACTATAAAAAAATTGGAACGAGAAAAGGGAACTACACCATTTACGACCACAACTATTCATCTCTTTTGATGCAGTATGTAAGTCAAGGACGCAATAAGTTTTAGTACCTAATTTTGATTATTGGAAATGCTTATTGTTAATGATTCTGCTACTATAAAATCTTGGATCTGTATTCAGTTTGCCCTCCCTGTACGCCCTACTACCAACATTATCGGAAGCGAGGAAACTTCCGGGTTTTCTCGCGCGCGTCACTCACCCAACAATCCACCCCTCGTTCTCACTTCTCTATTTAGGGCTTCCTTGCGTTCCGAGTCGGCTGTGCCGGTACGTTATGATCAAGCGAGAGACCGAAATATGCGTGGAAATAATGGGAAGGCAGTGATTTCGCACCGACGAGCCGAGTTATTAACGCCGAAATGTGTTCATCGCGAACGTCGCTTGCCAGTCGAAACATAAAATCGCCCTAATGAAAGTTAATTAGGACTGCGAGTGTGGAATTGATGGCTGGCAATTTGCGTCGCGTTGGCGTATTGAATGGATTGCCACGGAAAGTAAAAGCGGTGTGCATGTAAGCCTAAAGGAGGACGGTGACTTGAGATGCATCAAAAGAACGACGCTAAACGTTAATAAAACCGCGACGGCGAAATATTTGAGGTGACCGCAGAAAAGTAAACAAAATGTTTTCTACGGCCACTATCTAAAATGCGCTTTCCCGCACTACTTCTGCGTAGACTAAATAATTTCTCACAAAACGCAAAACACGATGAAAATTGACATATCAGTTTGTGTCGGAGTTCAGTCTGTTGAAGTCGCTCAGACTTCAGGAGTTGCGCAGGGTTCTATTTTTGGACCTTTCAGAGCTCATGAAGCAGGCTCTGAAATGAAGAGATGACTGGTGTAAGGGTGCAAGCACTGTCAGTAAACCCTGACAATTGGGTTGGACTCTCTGAACCTATATTAGGAAGAGGTGCATTCGGCTTTTCAAAGAGGTCAAATATCTAGGATTAATAATGGATGATAATCTTACCTGGAACACACACTTGGAAAAAGTGGTGTGTAAGACGAAGTAGACATTGTGTGAATACCGTCGCCTTATTGGTAGAACCTGGGATGAAGCCAAAGATGTATACATTGGTAGTAAGACGTGGAATTTATGGCGCTGTGGTATGGTGACAAAAGACACAACAGACCACGGCGAGGGAAAAACTGAATAGAATCCAGAGACTGGCCTGTTTAGGTATAACGGGAGCGATGACATCGATCCCGACAGTTGCGCCAGAAAGAGAAGTGTGGCTAGCAGCATACCGACTCAGGAAGAATAAAGATTGGAGGGGTAGTCCCTATTCCAGGATCATGGACATACCATATTGGATCCAAGTCTTGGGATGATATCCGACAAGATGGTTCCAAGATTTCACTTCCACAAACCATTTGAGACTCGAATACAAGATCAAAGCAAATGGAAGGAAAAGTTTCATATCATGGAAATATGGAGCCTCTTATGGTTTACGGATAGATCCAAAAATACCAGAAGAACGGGTGCATATGGATGGGGTGCAAGCTGCAGTCTGGGTAGGTTTCCCAAGCAGAAAATTTCGCGGTAATGGTTTAGTAGAGAGAGTTTATAAACACAAACCTATATTCTCTGGCAAGCTGCAATTAAAACTTTACTTGTGTGGGGATGTTTACAAATGCTCACTGGACTGGCTACCACTAATACAGTTCGACTGTGTTGGGTGCCAGGACACAAAGGCGTTAATGCTAACGAGAAAGCGAATGAACTTGCTAGGAAGGGATCTGAAACAGAGTTCATCGGCCCGGAGCCCTTCTACGGTACATCTCCCGGTGTGGTCAGAGGGGCTCTGGGCAAATAGACTGAGACAGAACACAGGAAATACTGAACTTCAAGGTCAAGGCAAAGCCAATCGAAGGGATTTATGAAGTATCCTTTAAAGGTAAGAACAAATGAGTCGCTGGGACACACAATAGGCCTGACAATGCCGCGGTGCCATAGCATTTGATTAGAACCAACCACTAGAAAAAGAAGAAGAAGAAACTTGAATATGAAATCTCTAGTAAATTTAAATATTTTTTGAAAAAGAAAAGTTATTCGATATACAAATATCAGCGAAACATGAAAACACTCTTCATCTCTCAAATGAATATATCTAGATGCAATTTTCGCCGTTCATTTTTTCACGAGAATTAAGTCATTGATAGTCATACTTTTTTTGTTTATCACCTCGAGAATACAAGAAATCTTCCAAATGTGTCAAAATCGGCCCACATTTTACGATGGGTGTATAAAATCTAATGTTTTTACACTAATTCCTAGAGTATATTTATAAAAAGAATATTTACAGTGCAATTAAAAGAGAAACAAAATACAAACCACTGGAAATTATTGAGAGAAATATGTTTGTACCATCAGAAAGTTATCTGAAAATGTAGGCAACGGTTTCAGATGACAACTACCGTAATTATAACAAAATTATGAATATTCATGACAATAAAAATGAAATCAATTAAGTGTAAATGACAACTATTACATTTCCAGGCATAGCCTGTGGTATATTGCCAGTATTTAAAACAATATAATTTATATACCATTAATAATGTGCAATTCATCCTAATTTTTATATTTTGTATAACATAAAATACTATGTAAATTTCGCAGGTTTTATTGAAAAAAAAAAATGAAATATTCAACTAATATTCGCAATTTCTCATGCGGAATACAAAGTAGGGAAATTTTTACTTTAAATTGTATGTGAGCACGAATCCGCAAAGCCTTTTAGCCATTGTGACAGACTTTTGGGTTTTTATAGATCATTTTGCCTAACCTTGAAATTCATTTGCAATTCATAACTATTCAGAGCTATCGACACACACTTGCGACAAAGACCGATTTTTTATTCAAAATATTTAGTGGTTAAATATTTGCACATGTATCCGAAATACAACTTAACAATGACAACACTATATTTCATTGTTGGAAAGCAATATTCCACTTCAAACAATCATAGAGACCTTAAAAAGTACTCTTTATTTGTTTATATCGATATAAATAGTTTTTCACAACGTCGCCGTACAATATAGTTCTATTTCATTAAATCTGAGATCTACTTTTGGATATATATGATGAAGACAAAGTCCAAACTCATAAAAAAAATTGATACTACCTTGAAGGTACTTTGTTTAATAAGTAAAGTATTTGCGTTAGGTACTTGAAGAACATATTGTTTACGTAGATACATCATTTCAACACCTGTTCTCTTTGATTCTAGGTGCAAAGCTCCAGGTCGTTACCAGGACAACCTCCCGTCAACCTCTGTGATCATCTGCTTCCACAACGAGGCGTGGTCGGTGCTGCTGAGGACGGTCCACTCGGTGTTAGACCGGTCGCCCAACCACCTCATCGAGGAGGTCATCCTTGTGGACGACTACTCCGACATGCCCCACACAAAGCAGCAGTTGGAGGACTACTGGTCCAACGAACCCAAAGTCAAGATCATCAGGGCCAACAGGAGGGAAGGGCTAATCAGGGCGAGATTATTGGGTAAGGCTTGCGGGTTATTGTACTGGTAATACCCTTTTAAGTCTAGCACCCGTCGCAGATACTGGCCCCTTGCAGTAGTTGAACTGGCTGCTACAGTCTTCTAGATCCAATTTTGTTTGTTCACCTGGCTTTTTTGACCCAATGGTGCACAGAATTTTTAATTGCTCTTCGCAAGGTATTCCTCAGATAGACTAATTCTATTCAGATGTCCTTTTAAACCACAATGGTCTTTTTGTTAGGAGACCTGCCATTGTGTGTAACTGATTCCTGCTTAATCACAGCAGTTATTCGTCTTCTTTTTTGATGGTTGTTTGGTTTCCCATATTGGTACCAGAGCAAATTGCGTTAGTATCTCTTGAATCATTGATTTCCAGCAGTATATACCGCACTGTTACTAGGTTCCTCTTATTGGCAGAACCAAAAGAAGCTGTCTTCTACCAAGCCTGAATCAGCAGTCTTACATTTGTTCTTATTTATCTGCAACTTATACTCAATAGATCCTTTGTCAGATTCGCCTTGCTTCTCCCCAGATATTTCTTGTCTTAATTTTTAGGTCCTATATTTCATCCAGTCCAACATAGGTATCTTGAGGCAGTTAGCAATGCTGTATAAAAGTCGTATAAAAACTTGCTTTGGCTAACTAATCAATCTTTTCCTTGTCTGAAGTCATTCTATAGTATCCAAACTAACATCACATTGTTTTCAGCTCCTAACCTTATTAAAGCATTCAAACAACCTGTGTCAATCTTTATTCTGCCTGAATCAATGTAAGTAACAGTTCATTAGTTTTCCACCTTTCTCCTTTTTAATTTCGTTGTGTAGTATCCAATAACTGTCATTACTGCCGAAAAACTTTCCCAGTATAAGAGCCACTTCAACTTATTAGTGTATACATATATAATTGATAGAAGTTTTGTTGTAATCCATAACATAGAGCCTAGCTTCTCTTTAAATGAAGGTATTTCATGGTACTAAGAAAGAAGCCTTAAATTAATTACCATTTAAAAGCTTTTCCGTTCTACCCCCACAATGTCTTCAATCACGATACAGTTAACTTTAAAACGCATTCGTTGATAAACAGGAAATACTTGAAGTCAAAATAAGCTCATACTGGTTGCTCTCTTCAAACGTTCAGCGATAATTCTTTGGTGAACCCATTTTTGTGTCCATCGAAGACAGGAATAAACATCGTCTTCCTCCAGGTGCTACCGGCGCCAAGGGACAGGTCCTCACCTACCTGGATTCCCACTGCGAATGCACCACGGGCTGGTTGGAACCTCTCCTCGATCGGATCGCCCGAGACCCCACCACCGTGGTGTGCCCGGTGATAGACGTCATCGACGACACCACCCTGGAGTACCACTACCACGATAGCGGCGGCGTCAACGTCGGCGGTTTCGACTGGAACCTGCAGTTCAACTGGCACGCGGTGCCCGAACACGAGAAGAAGAGGCATAAGAACCCGGCTGAGCCCGTGTGGAGTCCTACCATGGCGGGAGGGCTCTTCAGTATTGATAGGGTGAGTTTTTTAGTCTTATTAACTACTTCGCAATAAGGAGTTATTCAATATATTACGTTCATTTGGTGTGCCTCAATATCTCCGCCAGAGGGTGGCAGATTTTTATGCCAATAAGTGTAACACCCCATATCTCGTACACAATCATATTTATAGGAACTTTTTTAACGATTGCTGATTTAGGATCTACAATCTAACATTAAAGTTTGACGCCTAATATATTATACTTATTGGTTATAAAATTCTCTACGGAACCAAAATCTCTTTATGACTAAATTACAAAGTATAGGACTATTATAGAATTAATTTGAATAGAGCGGCTATTGCAGAGATAATAAAACAAACCCAACGTTAAAATTATTTACACGAAATTAAACGCAATCTTGGTGCTTGATTCTCAACGGAACGAAATTACTTGGTATATTCCCATTATTCAGGGTAATATTAAAGAATAACATTGGAAATTCCCACGCTCTCTTCCTGCGAGCATTCCTGGCGAATTCCGTCGCCGCCCGAGATTGCCAGGTTACTAATAATACCTGGCCTTAAATAAGCGGAGATTGTAATAAAACGACAGCAAAGCAATTAAAAATATCTTAATATTATGCCTTTTAATAGCACCGGTTTCTGTTACACGTTTTTAAAACTGTAACAGGTTTTGATTGGGGACTGTAGAAACAGCTAAAACTCATAAAATTATAATTATACGGGGTTTATCATGTACTTTAAAATAAGTACATGAACAATGTCAGCTCAGAGATTTCTTTTTCTAATTTATAAAAAATTACGTATAGTGTACCTCTGTACTCTTATTTAAAATTAAACCTTTTTCACATTTTAGCGCGAAAAAAAAATATCTGTAGTCTGAAAATTAATACTATGAAATATCTTGAAATGTGCTCGAAATGTGTAAGCCCAAACATTTAGTTTTTGTTTTATTTTTCGCTTTTCTCTTTTATTTTCGCTAATTTTCCTGGTGTAATATACCTATAAAGCATATCTGAATTGTGATAGTTTTTAAATTAAGAAATTTTATTCAAATTTGGTACAGAGGGGTTTCTGGGGAAGGTAAATTAGAATAAATAACTAACTTTTAAATAAAATAATCGCTATTATAATTTGGTTATATCAGTTTGCTAAAATAACAGAAAAATAAAGGTGGCTCCATGAAAAGTGAAACATAGTGTGACGTCTGGTTTTAACACCCTTTATTATCGCAAAAGGGAAGATTTCACTCATACTACACATTCAACAATCTCTTGACTGATTTCTTTGACGTTAAGGATTATTTCTTTAATTTTTTTTCAGTGGAAAAATGTTCAATCAAGCAAAAATAGCAAGTTAAAATCTATTTGTGGCGTTAAGGCATTTTTCAATACCTGAAATATATGCAGGGTGGTCCAGATTTTAATAGAAAAACTTCGGGAAAGTACTAAACAGCAAAAATTTAACATCACTTTGCTCTATGAACATAGGCGCAGAAAGCCACCGTTTCTGAGATACAGGGTGTGGAAATTAACAAAAATAAAACAATTTTTTTAAATATATTGAAAACCACTTCATCAAATTTATCCAAATTTGATACAATTTTTTTTTAATAATTCTCCTAGTTCTATGTGCATACAGTCCAAATTCAAAAACCAGTGGCGGAGAAACAAGGATATCGTTTCCCTATTTAAAGTAAAACTTCTACGCCACTGAATTAATTGGTAATATGAATATATTTTATAATGGTCTGAAACATTCCGGATGAAAAAAATTCTTTTATTTTTGTCGAAAAGTGAATGGTTTACGAGTTATGAAACATATTATTCAAGTAAACATCTTGCCTAGACTAAATTCCGATCGGTTTTTAATTTTTTTGGAAAATAACCTCTTCCATTTAATGGAGGACGTACCCTCGGTCCAACGAATAGGGACCTGGTTTCAAATGGATATGGCGCCAGCACATTCTGGCCAAGTAGTTCGTGAATGGCTGACAAACAACTACCAAAACAGATGGATTGGTCGGAATGGCCCTATACCTTGTCCACCTAGATCACCTGATCTAAATATTTTAGATTATTTTAATTGGGAGTAACTTAAAAAATGATGCCGTTCCTATAGCAAATAGAAACCAGCTAGTGCAAAGGCTAAATGGAGCCTGCACTAATTTGAAACAAAATCCAGTTTTAATAAGAGCTGCTGTGAATTCTATAACCAAAAGATGCCAAAAGTGCACTGAGTTTGGAGATGGACACTTCGAATGATTGATTTAATTTATTTGTTTTTCATATAACTTTACTTGTTGTTCGTGTTACTTGAAAGTTGAGCTATGTTTGCTCTGCTAGTGAAAAATGTGTATCAAATTTGGATAAATCTAAAGTGGTTTCCCAGTTATTTAAAAAATTTGTTTTATTTTTGATCATTTCAATGCCCTTTATCTCATAAACGTTGGCTTTCTGCGCCTAGTAAATAGAGCAAAGTGATATTAATTTTTGTTGTATAATACTTACGATATCCTTGTTTCTCCGCCACTGGTTTTTGAATTTGGACTGTGTACATACAGAACTAGGAGAAATATTTGAAAAAAAAAATGTGTACCAAATTTGGATAAATTTGATGAAGCGGTTTTCTAGATATTTAAAAAAATTGTTTTAGTTTCGTTAATTTCAACGCCCTGTATCTCATAAATGGTGGCTTTCTGCGCCTATGTTCACAGAGCAAAGTGATGTTAATTTTGGTTGTTTAGCACTTTCCTGAGGTTTGTCTATTAAAATCTAGACCACCCTGTATAATAAAATTAAAAAGAAATAATCTAATCAATGAAAATAAGATTAAGTCAGGGGAAAGCCTTGATATGCTTTTTTCTGCCTATTTTAAAATCTCATTATGTGAATCAATGTTACAGGTTATAGTCTTATAATTTCCCGTAATAGAAAGATTTGAAAAACAAACCATGTACTGAAATTTAGAGGGATGGCTGTATGCTCGAGTAACTGTAGCCGACATCACACACCGCTATCCTCAGTGTGCACTCCCGAAGTGGCAGAATTAAATCCCGAAAAAATAATGTGTATTCTTTGATCGTTGTTTCTTTGTCCCCACAGGCAAGGCGGTAAATTTCCCGCTATTGCGTTACACAATGGAAAAATCGAGGGATATACGGATTTTACACGGGGCCGAATCGTAAATTTAACTTTATTGGGTATCGGGTGGCTTTCAGTTTTACTTTTGTTTGCCGTGCGCCGTAGAGATACGGTTTCCTATTGATAATTCTGTTTGGCCAATATATTAGGGGGCACCGACGTTGAAATGTTGCCGGGGTGTGGGCGACGCTAGGGGGGAGCGCTTAGTTTTTCCACGAAATACACAGAGGGACCCATTTTCTTTACATGAGATCTAAGTGTGTCCCAGAAACGGTCAATACAATTTTTAGGATATTTCCTAAATTTACTACTGATGAAGCTGTGATTCTAAGTATTACTCCGTGCTTTTTTTATTAATTTTATAAAAAAATAAGAAATCAAACATTTAAACGAAGTTAGCAAAAAATAAACTAGTGGAAAAAATTAAGGGATAAAAAAAAAATCTAAATCTAAATTTGGAGCTTGAAGTTTCTAATTCGAAATTTTTTTCGATCTTATTTTTAGTGACTTGAAAAAAAATTTTCCAACTTAACCACCTTATGGATTAGATAGGTTGTTCATTTAGCTTCAATTTCTTTTTTTTGGTCTCGATATGACCATTTCTCGCTGAGCTATCGGGCTTTCAATGAAAATGGATCATTTTCTCTTTGTTCATCGATATCTCAGAAACCAATGGTTGCACAGAAAATCGACGGTGAGTTTCAGAAACTTGAATGAATTCTCTACAAGGTCCTGGTTTTTTAGAAAAAATTTTTTTTTTATCCTTAACATGACTGAAAAATCGTACTAGGACTTTTAGGAGTCTTCTAGAAAATCACGTTCCACATTGAGAATATTGGGAAAATAACTAATGTTAAGTGTGCCTTTTACAGGTCATTGTACCCCTAAAAGCCCTACAGGGTTTCAATTCGATCCATCAAGCCGTTTTTTTGTTTCATTCGATTGAATTTTTTAAAAAATTAAAGGATCACGTTTTTTTCCTTTAAATGCTCATAATCTGTAAAAAAATGAAAAAAACATTTTCAAACGCTTTCTGCAATAAGAATGTAAAAAAAATTTCGTTAAATTTTGTAAAATTGTTAATTATTACTACCTATTTTTTGAATTACAAAAAATTTTCGAAACGTTAGCAAAATTTTTGTTTTGTTCATAAAAAGTCATTTTTCTTGAAAACGGTTGACTTTAAAGCAATTAACCAAGAGAACTCTTTTTGTGTAAAATTCATCTGCGCTTTAGAATTTGCTGTCAAATGCCAATTTTTTCCAGTGGCGTAAAAGTTAAAAGGGAAAAACCCTTACGATACCTTAAAATGTCCCCCACTGACACGTCCAATGAATTCGAGAAGGATGTCCTGTAGTTCAAACGATATTGGCAAAAAAAACTAAAAAAAAATTTGACACCGTGTATCTCGAAAACGAAAGCCCGGAGAGAAAAATGGAAGAGGAAAACAATGTTTCTTTTTTTCACGAGGAATTTACAGTTTTCCGTTGCGACACTTATTTAGGAACACCCTGTATATCTGTTTTGTTTTCCACTTGAATAGTTTTTATATGTTAATAATTTTATAGCGAATTTTTTTTTTTAGTCAGTATAGTATGAATTGTTTTGTTTGCTAACTACGCTCGAAATTATTGGTTCTAAAGAAATCAAGGGATAATCTAATTTTAGATGATTTATTAACGAGTTATTTTTTAGCATGCATAATTTAGAAAAATGTTTAGAATCAATTTGTAGTTACTTACACCTTTAAAGTGGCGTAAAATTAATATTTCACAATGTAAAGCCAAAAATAAAATAATAATAAGTGAAAAAGTCATGTGTATCCTTTAAGCCGTCAGTTGAGGCCTCTCACTTATTTTCGGAGTGATTGTATGA